TCCGCTGTGTTTGTCAGGCACAAAGAAGACCTTCACAAAGAAAACCACAGTCCGAACCAACACAGACCGGAATTTCCCCCTGGAATAGTACCGTTTACGTGAAACAATAAACCACCATGATATATGTACTTACACACAGGATGCACAACAGTCCTTGAGTGGGTTCACAGTCTTTTGGTGTTGGAGAGAGAAAAGGAGGGTATGGGTTTAGAGATTTTTGCCCCGACCGTGCCTAGACTAATGTCTGACCAATGTCTAAATTTTAACAAGACTAGACAGTCTTCGCCACGAGGCGGATATACCCGTTGAGAGGTGATAGTCCCCTTACTCTCACGCCGTACCATTGTCGTACCCATTTGTAAACGCTCCCCCCGCACCAGTCGACGTCCCGAGTAAACGGGTGTCTTAGTCGGGAACGTTTTGTCCCGACTTATCTCGTTTATGTCGCTTATCTCCGTACGATTTTACGTACTAGACAAACCATAAAACTTTTTTTTTGAAGTGTCTGTACAAAACAATCCATTCCCGGATGTCTATATAATAAGGTATATCGTACTATCCCGCAGGTGAATTGTGTGTTGTTTAAGGGTAAGAAGTGTCTGAAATGTTACGTTACCCCGTAGCGACTGGCCAATAGGCATTTCCTAATAAATAATATCTACCTCTCCCTTGGGATAGACCCATGAAAGGATTTAAATACCGGGGAAGGGGGAAAAACCCGCCACCTTTTTAGACGACAGACGGTGATTTATGTTTAAGGTCAGAAACAGACCAGGCTACCAAAAAGTCTACTACGATGACCTCTAGGTGCTAAATAAACAGGAAACATACTGCACGTTATATGCCTGTGTAGTTGAAAATCCGTAATATGTTGAAAACAAAACGAACGGCGGTTAAGAATCAGAAATGGGCTTTCTCCACCGGCAGTTAAGCGGTCTGTTCACCTAATTATTTTTACCTGATCTTATTTGGAAAAGACTCGAGCTATTTACAATGTACGCACAACAAATTGATTTCCTACACTGGTAGTTAAATCGGTCCCTCGCGACACCGACGCCCGGGCCGCGACGACACCACTCCGCCCCGAGTGTGTGTTCGGGATACTGTGTCGGTCCAGTCTTGTGAAATGGCGCACCGTCGTTACATCGTCCGGTTTATTTTATATCCTCTGTTTCGTCTCTGTTGCACCTGAATGAGCTCCCACTAACTTTCAATTTACCTTCACCAACGTTTTGGATTATGGTGGTAGAGGGCCACACCCTTATAAAACTACATTCGTTTTAGTTGCTCCGCTTGGATGCCTGAACTTTAACGCGGCCCGCCATACCACAACGTAACAAAATTTTTCGTCGTTTTTTCGATCGTTATCTGGTTGGAATTTGACGTGGACCTTTTTGTTTGGATGGGTAAGGCACAAGGGTCGACCTCGTTTGTGCCCCCGTCGAACTTCTCATGGGTGGGAAGGGGATGTCAAACGTTAGTTTCTACTAACGGGCCTGTTACATTTGTA